CCCTTGCACCCCTAACCCTTTAGAAAAAAAACCCAGGGGTGTTCAAACTTGACAGCTTTAAGACTTTATGGTTTAGACTGGATTCTTAGAGGTGGGCGGGGTGATTGGTGAGCCAGCCAATCAGTGAGCAGTGGGCGGGGCAAGCATGGTGTGGATGGGCAGCGGAAGGGAACTGGAACTGGTTCTAACTGGAACTGGCACGGTAGATTTGTGGAACCTCTTCTATAGACGAGGTTAGAACTGGCAGGAACCCACCCCTGTTTGGGACTGAACACAGGTCTTGATCAATAAAATATCTCCACAGACTTTCAGAAAGGATTATTTACCTGCCTTTCCTGCAGTCGCTTAAACTGGATTTTGCATGCAGCTCTTCCTGACCTGTCCTCTTTCCATCTGCTGTATCCCTTCACTGGTGATGAATTACTTCAATCTCTCTGGAACTTAAAAACTCACCCTCATTCCTAAATCACAGCTTATAAACCACTCAATTAAAACTAGGCAAATGGTGCCTAGTTTTAATTGAGTGTTCATGCGCAGTTTTAACAAAATTTACCCTCCACATCACTTCTGAGGGGTAACACTGAGGCATGGCACTTTGCTCTGCTGTGGGAATCAGCTGAGAGGATATAGGTAAGGAAAGCGCGGCGGTCGGGGGGCAGGCCCATCTGATCGTTGGAACGAACCGGTTTTCTCCCCAGCTGATCATCAGAGCTACCAGTTCTCCTGAACTGGTCCAAACCGGCTGAATCAGTGGAGGGTTCCTACCAGTTTGGACCAGTTCGGCCAAACTGGTAGTAGCTTGGTGGCCTGGGTTGCTGGAACCGGCAGCAACTCAGGCCTGCCTCAGGTCTGAACTGGTTCTCCTGGCAGCATCATAGGTGCCGCCATCTTGTTTTTTGCTTCTGCGCATGCACAGAGCAATTTTAGCTGCACTGCACGTGCGCGAAGCATCCCTGAACGAACCAGCAGTAACCCTGGGTGTTAGGATGTGGAGGTGACCTCTCTCTTTAATGGGTGAAATCCATAGAGAGGGTTTCCCAAGTGTGAGTTGTATCTCCCTTGGGGTGGTACAGACAGAGTTCAGGGGTGGTGTGAAAAACCTTTTAGGTTAAAATAAATCCTTCTCTCCCAAAGTTTCATTGTAGTTCCATTGTTCACTTGTGTTCATTTTGAGGTTTTGATTTTTAGGGGAGGTGTTCAGAAGATTCACATTCTAGACAGAGGTGACTGTTGGTTTGAAATAGGAGTCAAAGACGCCATCTATATTAAATTGAACAGCCCTCCCCCAACAGAGAGGGAGGGATACGACATCATCTTTTGCCAGTCTACCACACAGTCCTTTCAGCAGTTCCAAGAAGGCTCCACACCCATTAGCACCACTCAGGTGACCCTGAGGATACAGATAAGCCCCCCCAAAGTGAACTCAATGACTTTCAGAGTCATTGAACAGGACAACTGCAAAGAATCTAAGTCCTTAGAACCGAAGAAGCTTCTTGGATGAGAAGCAAAATATTTTCAAAGGAAAAAAATCAAGCCAGTCCAGTTGCCTTTGAAAAAACAAGCACCTTTGGGATAATTCGCTACCCTAATTTTTCTGGTCTATCTATCCAGGACATTTAATTCTACTTGAGTCCAGTCCAGTATTCCAGCTGTGTATCAAATGTCTGGAATTAGACAGGTGTTTATTGTCTGGATGGTATTTTCTCCACTGAGCTTGGACTTTAATATACAACAGAGAACATAGAATAATCGAGTTGGAAGGGACTTCTAGTCCAACCCCCTCCCCAAGCAGGAGACCCTACACCATTTCTGACAGAAGGCAGTCCAGTCTCTTCTTGAAAGCTTCCAGTCATGGAGAACCCACAACTTCTGAAGGCAACTCCTGTTCCATTGATTGATTGCTCTCACCATTAGGAATGTCTTCATATCTTCTAAATTTAAAGTATCTTCTTCACTCCCATGATAACCACCTTCTTGACTTCAGTGTGCTTGATGTTATGAGCTTGAAACGAACATCTATAAGTTGAGGACCACCTGTGTGTTGTTACATTGCTTGGCCATGAGTGGGTGTAAACCAGTCAGATGTTTCAATCAAAAACTATGGACTTCATCTTCCCCTGATGCCTTCTTGGTCATGCATTAACTGGTTCTCTGCAGTCTCTCCATTGAAGGATTTGTAGAAATATTTATGATTGGATTGAAATTCGAGATTCTGTCCATGGTTTTAATTTGAGCTTGGTATCTGCTGATCTTCTTGGCTGCTTTATTATTTCCAGTGTTTCCTTGATCTTCCTTGTTTCCAGTTGACATTTCTTGACCAGGTGTTCTTTGGTCTTTTGTTCTTCAGCTTCTTCTGTTTCACCTGTTCTAGTCTGCTTGCGTCTAACCTTAGCATGTTGATCTTATCTTCTGTCTCGGCGGTGCAGTGTATGCCTTTTTTCCTTTGTTGATTTTGCGTCCCACGTATTCAGTTATTTTTGCAGCAGTGCTCGACGTTAGTTGACTTGTTTCTTACTGTGGGCTTGTATTTGATATTAAATTATTGGCATCTTTAATAGTTCTACTAGCTGTTTCTTTGGAACAAGGTCATGTCAGGCAACCTCATTCTATTGCTCTTGTGCGGTTTTAGATACTCAGTCTTTGTTTTAATTCTTCTTTTCTAATTAGATTGTTATTTTTGAGGAAAAGGCAGAGGAGAGGGTCCCTGGTTTGGGAAGGAAAATATGTCAATTTCTATGCTGACTTCTGCTTCTGACTTTTCCTGGTTTGCCTCTACATTCTGAAATACTTCTGGCAAGACTTTGATCTCTTTGTCCTGGATAGACCTTTGCAATTCTCCCAATTCTGCTTCTGGGAATACTTTTATTTCGTATTATAAATTGACATTGATCTGCTAGCCTGTGTTCTGTTATTTTTGGTTCTGAATGTTGTCCTTTCTAGAAATAATGCATTCTTTTTAGTTATCCTCTTCTTGTTGGATTTGATTTAATAACAGTCCTGAATTCTGCAGCCCATTTGCCCCAAGATGTCCAGAAACGTTAATAATTAGCACAGTCATTGGTGGCCTGGATGATAAACCAATTTGGTCAGGGTTCCTGTAAATTACTTCTCACCATATTATTTATGGGAGACACACTTTTTCTACCTCTTCTGGTGACAGCTGTCTCATACAGTTGAACCTCAGGCTTAGCTCCAATCTTCCTCAGAGCACACAAACCCCACAATCACATCGAGGTGCGGCCTCACTGGGGGATTATTGTAATTGTGGTTTCTTGTTGTATCCAGATGTTTGGACTGGGTTTGGAATTTCTACATACAGAACAATGTGAAGTCACAGCTGCCAGTTTGTCTGTTGGCCTTCATACCTATCCAGTTCTTCTCAAAAACCCAGAAGGTCACAATCCATCAGCATAGTAAGTGTGTGAATCCAAGCAGTGTGGCCTTCTGTAATGGCCTCATGGAAATTTTGTCAAGGCACAGGTTTTGTAAAGTGCTGTTCGGGATTTTTTGATACAGCACCCAATGTGTCAAACCACTGGGACCACCACAGTTGGTTTATGCCATAATATGTCCATTTCAATTTCCAGATCTAAATATTTTCAATTCTTTGTCTTGCATTCTCCTATCCCCTGGCATCAATTATCCACACATTCTTCTTTCCCACCAATATTGCACCTAGTATATTATGAGCCAAGATGATCAGTCTGCATTTGAAACTCCCACAAAGAGCCATGGTGAGTGCAATCCTGCAGGCTACTTCTGCTGACTGCCGGCTGCCAGCAGTTTGGCAGTTCAAATCTCACCAGGCTCAAGGTTGACTCAGCCTTCCGTCCTTCCGAGGTGGACAAAATGATGAGCCAGATTGTTAGGGGCAATATATTGACGCTGTAAACCGCCTAGAGAGGGCTGCAAAGCACTATGAAGCAGTGTATACGTAAGTCTAAGTGCTATTCCTATTGCTAATATTTTAATATGCTGATTTTTGACTATTTTTCCAACTCTATATTCCCACCAAGTTTTCATTTCTGGCCTATGTTCATTTTCTTTTAATTACATGCACTAAAATGTGATCTCACAGCTGCCAGGTTTTTTTTAGCTTGTGTTGATCATCATGCGCATCACATTCTTTTCAAGAACATAGGATGGCGTAAGATATGTGAGGGTACTTTTATAATTGTTGATGGAAATTTTGTCTATGTGCGGATTTTAATAAATTATGAACTATATTTCTACTAATATTACCTATAATACTATTGCTTAAAAAGTTTATTGCATAGTTTTCATATAACATATATGTGGAATCAATGAACAATCTGAAACTTCATGAAGGGGTTGATGAACTGAAGAGTTTGGGGACCACTGTTTTAGGGACTTTACCCCAGGGATATTCCTGTAGTTTGGGTTGGACTTAAGGAAGAAAGCTTTCCTAGTAACTTATTGCTGCCTTATCTTCAATTCCACTCGTTTAGATTTATTTCTTGCTTTAAATTTAGAGCAATGGAAGACTTCTATTTCAGTGAATGCTATAAACATGAGCCTCTTGCTCTCGCTCTACCATGATGAATATAGTACAAGCAGTCCTTGAATTACAACTATAATATATACACCCATCTCCTCCCACATATGACTGCACGGCTGTAACTTTGTTGCTTGTATCCTTACGGTTTATATTATATTGATCGTTTCCTGATTGTTTATTTGTACCCGATGGCTATCATTAAGTGTTGTGCTCATGGGTGAAATCCAGCAGGTTCTGACAGGTTCTGGAGAATCTGTAGTGGAAATTTTGAGTAGTTCGGAGAACCAGCAAATGCCACCTCTGGCTAGCCCCAGAGTGGGGTAGGAATGGAGATTTTGCAGTATCCTTCCACTGCCACGCCCACCAAGCCACGCCCACAAACCCACACCATGCCCACCAAGCCACGCCC